AAGAGAAAAGAGAAAAGAGAAGGAAAAAAGTGTGGAATCATCAAGAACAGCTCAAAGCTTCGATTAATCCAAGGTAAGGGTGAGAATGTTTATCATCTTAATAATGTATAAGGTCATATATGTGCTAGATTGGAATCGTTTGGTAGTTTTCCATACTTTCCATTTTTAGGTCGAAGTTGGATTAATCGATAGAAATCGTTATTTAACGGTTAGAATCGTGTTTAGATACCGTATATTAGTCGATATATGTTAGGCTAAGGCTATTGGAATAACATTGAATTTAATCGGGTGATTTCGGTGAGTTTGGAAGAGTTGGAGCAGAACTGAATATTGTTGTTCGCAGGCGACTCGCTAGCAGTTCGCTAGGCGAGCACGCAGCGAACGTTCGCTAGCAGCTCGCTAGGCGAGCGTATAGCGAACGGTCCCAGACTTGGGACAGTGGTGTTTTGGTCTCCTTCGCTGGCAGCGAATGGCTCGCTGGGGGTTCGCTGTAGCGAACGAGGTAGCGAACGAAGTCTGTAGCTTCTGTTCTTGCTCGCTAGCAGTTAGCTAGGCGAGAAGGTGGCGAACGTTCGCTAGCAGCTCGCTAGGCGAGCGTGTAGCGAACGTAGCAGGATGAATTTTCCCTGTCGCGTGGTGCCGTCGTGGCTTGGGGTTTCGGTTACGATCGACCCTTCTTTGATTTAATAGCTTATATGCTGGTTTGTGATGTGCTGTAGGTAGCCGTAAGGCGTGAATCCTAGTGTATGAATGTGATTTTGAATCATGGCCTTTGGGCAAATTATGCATTGTTTAGAATTGAATAAAAATGCATGGCAATTGTGATGAATGATGAATATAATACACATTGTGAGTGCATGATAATTGTACGTGTTGATGTGTGAAGAATGCATGATAATATATTTGCGAATATGTATGCATTGGTTATATTTGATCCCGTGTAGGATCTGCTGAACCTCGCTTGATGCGATGGTTATATTTGATCCCGTGTAGGATCTGCAGAACCTCGCTTGATGTGATGGTTATATTTGATCCCGTGTAGGATCTGCAGAACCTCGCTTGATGCGATGGTTATATTTGATCTCGTGTAGGATCTGCAGAACCTCGCTTGATGCGATGGTTATATTTGATCCCGTGTAGGATCTGCAGAACCTCGCTTGATGCGATGGTTATATTTGATCCCGTGTAGGATCTGCAGAACCTCGCTTGATGCGATGGTTATATTTGATCCCGTGTAGGATCTGTAGAACCTCGCTTGATGCGATGGTTATATTTGATCCCGTGTAGGATCTGCAGAACCTCGCTTGATGCGATGGTTATATTTGATCCCGTGTAGGATCTGCAGAACCTCGCTTGATGCGAAGGTTATATAGTGTAACCGTATAAGTGCGAGAGGAGTGAGTTCTAAGAGAATCTGACGGACGAATGAGTCGGTACCGTGGTTGTAGCTGCATAGGGTCGAGGTGTCGGTCTCTATGAGTGCATTATCATCTTCATATGATGAATTGAGAATAATGCGTTGAGAATGTATTAGTGTATGTATAAATATATATATATATATATATATATATATATATATATATATATATATATATATATATATATATATATATATATATATATATATATATATATATATATATATATATATATATTGATTGCGTCTGGTAAATATGAGAATGAGGTCGATGTATACGTAGAGAGATTCTACTCATTAGGGTAGAACGGCGATGCGTCGTTCCTAGTGAGGTAGTTACCGGGGTAGAATGGCCGAGACGTCGTTCCCGGTAGAGCATAAGCAACGTACCCATAGTCCGGGAAGAGGATTGAGGGTAGTGAATGAGTCTTATATGGATCGCATGGTATGATCGCGATTGTCATATGTAAATATGCCTATGTGCAGGAATTGATGAGATGCGTTAGCAAATAAATAAATGTGAAAGATATCGACCGATGAATAGACGGTTAAGTGTGAGCGATTATGTCTATGTGTATTTGATGCGGTGAGAATTTATGGTTATGCATTGTAGTGAATAAGTATGAGGTATAGGCATTCGGTACTTGTACATATATATATATATATATATATATATATATATATATATATATATATATATATATATATATATATATATATATATATATATATATATATATATATATATATATATATATATATATATATATATATATATATATATATATATATATATATATATATATATATATATATATATATATATATATATATATATATATATATATATATATATATATATATATATATATATATATATATATATATATATATATATATATATATATATATATATATATATATATATATATATATATATATATATATATATATATATATATATCTTATGCCTTGATTATTATGATAATGTTTCTCACCCTTCTGTTGTTTTATAATGCCCTTCGAGGCATTGCAGATTAGGATTCGCTGGAGGTTTCCTTTGGAGTATAGTTCCTTTCCCTCGTGTCGGTCGCTCTGATATGTAACTTTGGGTAGATAGGCTTGTTGAATGTCTTAATGATGTTTTGTTTGTATGTGAATAAAGTTGTGAACAACCAGATGACATGTAATTACGTTTTGTCATGTCTTAAGTGAAATTATATATGTTTTAGTCTTCCTCTTTAAGAGAAAACATGAATATGTAATTTCGAAGAATCATGCGTTTATTTTTAGTTGAGATTTACCCCTTTTGAGTTAATTCTTTTTAAACATTAATATTCATGTGGTCGTTTCGTGAGTATTGTGACGCACTTCTTTTATACCTAAATGTAAATACACTCTGATGAAAATAAAAACACTTGTATTCGTGACTATATGATTTGATATGTGATTATTTTGGGGTATAGAAAGGGGGCGTTACAAAATCCACTCTTCTACTGCTAGTCAAGTGAAAGGGCGCGCGAAGGCTCGAGGACAACGTCCCTGACCTAAGCCCTTACTCAATCGGCGCAGCAACGGTGCTAGGAGACGCGCCTAGCAATCCCTCAAAACCACACGAGGAGATCCTCCCTGGCGCGTTACCCAGAATTCCGTTGGAGATCCACTAGAAAACTCATGAGTACACCGGAAAACGCATAAGCTCCACCGAAAAAAAACTCACTCGTTGTCGCAATAGTGTCAGAATCAACAAAAATCCTAAGATCCTAGTGCTCCGACGACGGCGCCGGCGGCAGAAAATGGCCTAACCATCGCCAGTCACCAACATTCGCCAGAAACCACCCTGACTCTACCCACTTTCATCCTAACCACATGCAATCTAAGCAAAACAAGGATTGAAACACTTAAAACAGAAAGGGTGAAGAAAACTTACAAGATTGAAGAGAAGAAAAGTTGGTCGGCGAAGTCTGGTCGTTGCTCGTACGGCTGTGTTGCGGCGGCGGATGACGGAAACAAAGACAAACAGCAAGAGAGGAGAGAGAAGCGAAAAGTGAAAATGAACGCTTCCTCCCTCTATTTATAGGCAGACCAGAGGCACGTGCACGAGCACGCGCGACCTAGGGGCATCATCATGACCCTAGCATAGCCATCATTACACATTAAATGCGGCACATGGCTCGAGGCACACGTGGCACTCCATCCCTTCAAATCCCATCAACCGTTGAGCTCTCCGCTCGTCGGGCATGCAGGACAGCATTCCAGATTCCCAAGGCACATGTGCCTTTGAGCACCACGAAATGACCACATCTCAGTAACAGGCGTCGATCACGCCTATTCCTCTTCGGGACCGCAGGCTGCCCTTAAGTCATCACTCTTATGCTCAGGAGCAACGACTTGGGGGGCTCCTGTTCCGGACTGGCTCAATGGCTAAACATGACCCATTCCACTTCTGCTCCCAGAACGGCCCAATAGCTTAAGCCCTGTCAGTTAAGGGCAAAGGAAAGCATTCTCTCCCTTGCCCCTCTGCTGAGGAAGGTTGGTCAACTGACCCTAGGATCAGCTGTCCCTCGTCACATTTATGTCTGTCACGCACGGTTCTATCATCCAGAAACAGTCGTGATGCCCGTACCCGCGACCACGCCCTTACCCGCGACAACGACTAGTTCCGAGCACCTCTGCCCGTCCCAACGACTAGTTTCTGATAGTTACCTATTCTTTGGGAGCGAGTATCTCGCCCCAAAAATAAGGACCAATGGCCATGCGTTTGGGGCAGTATAAAAACTCTCTCATTTGAGAGGGTCATGTATTCTAAATCATCCTAAGACATACTCACTTTGTACTTGCCTTCTCTTCTCCCGATTCTTACTTTAGCATCAGAGTGCCTTGCAAGGACACCCCCTCCTAATCTTTGAAACCCAGTGTTGCAGACGAAGTCTCTGACCCACTTCAGATTCTGATCAGCCGTCAAGATCAAAAACAAATAATTTTTTTTTTATGAATGAAGAATGTTTTTAATTTTGATATTGATATGTCAAATAAATAAAAAGGCAATTTTATGTATTCTAATGATCCAGGCAGTTTTACAAAATCAGTTCCAATTCTTTAATTCAAACGATTTTGAACAGTTCAATTCTATTTTTTTTATTTTGACTTACTAACGGTTTTTTAAGGTTTACCAGACTAGATTCAACTCCACGGTTTTTTAAGGTTTATTGGACTAGATTCAACTCCAATTTTCGATTCAACCGTCCGATCCAATTCAGTTTCTAAAACATTTATGTTGTTATATTAAGTGTCTGAATGGCAGACTCACTCATTTGGTCTTTTCGTCGACTGAGTTCATGTGCACAATATTATACATGGTGCATCCTGAAGTTAACTTTTAACTTTAGGAGAGATCCCAAACTTAAATCATCAAATTGGAAGGAATAAAACCTGAAGACCATTTCTAAAATAAAACACTAAACAAAATATGTCATAACATATTAAATAGATGATTTTCTTTCAATTCATTCAGACCAGCCACTAGCACATTATTTCATTCCAGTTCTACATATTCCAGAACACTACTTTTCAGGACTCGAGATCATAGCTTGTGGAGAGCAGCATTGATTCTCTCATCAGTGAACATTCTGTTGCTTTCATAAAAATCAAGTATCTCCATTGATATGTTCTTAATCTGTCAAACAAAAAAGAATCCGACATACAATTTCAAGGATTAAATCTAGATAAAAATGTTCACGAATATCATCAAATGGGGGACTAAACATGGATGAAATTTTTGTAGAGACTAAAAAAATATTTAATCCAGTGTGGATGCTCACCACATTCATATCAACTCGAAGTTCTTCGTACCAAACAGTGGTGTCTTTCTCCCTTAGTACACTAGCAATGTATATGCAAGCTAAGGCAATCAGATGCGGTGGATGTACAAGCATTAGATCCATCTTGTATGTGTCATTAACAAGCCCCCTGATCGCATCGGCATTCATGTTTAGTTATTTTCATAATTGAATTCAACAAATTAATCATATAACCAAAGTTACAACGTCAGCAGCAGGTAAACAAGTCATTAGTCATTAGTCTAAGCTTTGAACCAATCTACTTTTTCCTAGGGCGAGGGCTCTATTTAAAAAACATTGTAAACACGAAGGACTCTTACCAAGTTAGTTGAGTCATGCTTAAATCGTTCAAACCCGCATCTTGAAGAAACCTGAAGAATTATCACTATAGTAAGTGTGAAATTATAGTATTTGGAAATGTGAAGAATGAAAGAAAGGAGCTACGAATGCACAACTCATGGGCTTTATTTCGTTAAGAAAATTCGTAAGTGATGAAGACCAACGTATATTTGGATGTAAAAGAGTATATGTGACGTTGGTCCATACAGGACTCAGTGTGCGCGCAAAATGGACAACCATTTTTATCAAACACTTACCCGGAGAGGGAACGGTATGGGTGGAATACAACCAGATAATAGTTCAATGCTTCTAAAATCTTCATTTCCATTTCAAGTATGTCCTTGATTTCATACCTATACTTATCATCAGCATCTGCATACGAAATCGTGCATTCAGAACATAAAGGAAATAACTCACTTTTGATATCAGAAGTTAATATGAGGCAAAATAGGACGAATTTATAGGCTAACTAACAGCTTACATAATTTCTTAATGTAAAATACAAGCAGCCTAGCCTGCACTGTGCTTTCTTCTGCTTTTGATGCCAGATACAAGCAGGTTGGAGCTACCAGGCGTGGATCATATTCGGTCATACTCTTCCTTAAAAACAAAAAAAATATAAAGATAGCTCTTAGATGATGCTTGCCCTGTAATAAGTGTCGTTTAAGGTTATACACATTTCTTAAGAAAATTATCAAGTGTACTAATTTTTACGAACGAAAAGAGAAACGACTTCTTTATATATCATGACATCAAAAGAAAAGAAATTTATGAACTTTAAACTTGCAATAATATTTATTCAACTTCATAAATAGAGCGGAAGCAACAACAACAACCTAATCAAGCCTTATCTCACTAAGTGGGGTCGGCTACATGGATCAACTTCCGCCATAATGTTTTATCCAGGACCATGCTTTTATTTAAATTATTAAGTTTAAGATCTTTCTTAATAACTTCTCTTATAGTTTTCCTAGGTCTTCCTCTACAGCTATAACTATTTGACCCTTCTCTATGTGATCTATTTTCCTTACCACATAATCGGTCTTCTCTACATGTCCAAACCACCGAAGTCTATTATCCACCATTATTTCTACCATAGGTGCTACCCCAACGTTCTCTCTAGTATCGTCATTTCTAATCTTATTATGTCTAGTCTTACCACACATCCAACGCAACATTCTCATCTCTGCTACACTTACTTTATTCTCGTTTTGACTCTTAATCGTCCAACATTCTGTCTCATACAACATTGCAGGTCTTACCGCTGTCCGATTAAATTTTCCCTTCAACTTTAACGGTATCTTTCTATCACATAAATAGAGCAAAACAATACAAATAATCCACCATCATAAAAATAAAATAGGAAATTCCTATGATTTCAAGAGTACTCTTTCAATCGGCTTAGAAATTTAAGAAGCATACCTTGTGTAAACACGCCTCATGTAAGTAACTGCGGTAGCAACAACCCTGAAAGATTGACCAACATATTAGGTGTGCCGCAATGAAAATAATAGAAAAAAGATTAAGTTTTGCATGTATTCAAGAAGTACAGTTCACACCTCTGCCTCACTTTTACTTGTTGAGCCAACTTCAGAATATCTGCACAAGCAAGAAAAGAAAACGTGGAAATTCAGTAAAGTTAAATAATACAAATTACTTTTATGGCAAATGAAAGACATCAATACAAATTCCATAGTATTTTCCTTTTATATAGGTTTGAATTCCTAAAGTCCAAACACGAGAATAAGAAAACAATGATAATAAAACACACTTCGGGCAATATTGAAGTGTTATCGATTGCATATGGCAGACTATGGCAGAAAGCATACAAACCGCCATTTTAAACCATGTTTCACAAACTGGTCATGGCAGTTGTCAAAATATCCACAGGCGCAATCCACTATCGCACCACCATGGCCAATATTTGACAACACTACAATAATGGCTACACGGCGTTTCACTTTTCCACTAGACTTTTTTTGGCAACACAAATTCGATATTTTTAAGCGAGTGTTACTATACAGTACTAGTAACAACAACAACAACAACCAAGCCTTATTCCACTAAGTGAGGTCGGCTACATAGATCAACTTTTACCATAATGTTCTATCTAAGACCATGCTTCTATCCAAATCGTTAATCTCGATATCTTTCTTAATAACTTCTCTAAACTGATTTCCTCCCCTTACCACAAAATCTACCGATACTCAAGTACTAATTCCTTAACCGTTTTTATAAATTTTAAATAATCCCTTAATTCAAAAACATAAATTGCATCGTCCCAAGCCGTCCATTGAACATAAAAATAAAAGAAATGCATAGAGAGGTATAAAAAGAGAGCATACAATTAGACATATGCATCTTAATGAGCTTAAAATCCTCAAGAGTGAGACCCTTTTCTTTGTCAAGTGGATTCACCATATCCACATCTTCTTGATCTAAAAGGTGCTTGCTGCAAGAGACACACGCAACATCAAGCAAATCAGGATCTCAATAAAGAGAAAAAGATAGAATTATAAATGGAGAGAGAGGCACAAATAATAAAAGAGATGAAACATACTAATGAGATGATGTCCAGAAATTGGCAGCCATAACTTGTTGAGAGATCAGAGAAACAATCCAAGCGGTGGAAAATAAATATTGATATCAATTGAGAGTGTTCAACCTTTCTATCAATCATCAACAATATCAAATAAATAAATAAACAATCATTTGGCAGCAAAATCCAACAATATTGAGCAAAAATTACGGAAAAACACAAGCAACGCAGCAAAATTTTACAAGACAAGAGAATTATCGCAAATTTAATGCATATTAAACATGAAAAGAGTAAGAAATTAACAAAAATGAGGAACAAGGTTAGAGAGAGAACGTACGGTAAGAGCGAAACATAAGAACTAGTTCTTGGTTTTAAACCTTAATAATGATCGATGTTCGGCATGAGAGTTGCTAGTAGCACCCCACCACTATTTCTTTTGTTCTAAAGTAAAATATTGTCATTATTATAATTTTTTATTAATATATTATTCTTCCTCCGTTTTTATTATAATTTATTTTTTTTTAAAAAAATATTAATATATTAGTGAATTACTAAAGTTTATTTTTTCTATTATATTTTTAAATGTATATTATTTTGTCTTTTTTCAAAATTTTAAACTTATTTTTCTCATATTACTATTAGTAAAGAAACAATTTTATAAAAGAAATTTCAATGATTACATTTTATATATATACATATGAGAGTGCCACAAAAACTTATAATGCCACAAAAACTTATAATAACAAAGGAATGTGTTTGTTTAAAATTGGAGGGCAAAAATCTCACGTAAAAATACATAAACAATCTATTATAATCTATTATAAATACCTATCTTTTTTTTTTTTTTTAAGAGAGGGCCTAGGGCTCCGAAAAAGAAATTAACTACACACCAATTTAGCGGTCGAGAGACCTCTAGCATCTTTATTTAAGAGATTCACCAAATTATCTGACGCTGAGTCAAAGGAAACAAAATTAGGCGATCCTACACCCCATTTTGGCTAGGGTGTCCACACATCTATTAGCTTTCTTATAGGAATGATACAAATGAACGTCCTCAAGACAACACATCATTCCCTGAATTTTCCCAATGATAGTCAAACTCTCCCTCATAAAAGCACCACCTCTATCAATAACACGCATCACCAAAATGACATTAACCTCCACCTTTTAAAACCCTAACCGAAGGAAAATTTTGAGACCTTGAAAAAAAAACCCACAACTCATCTATAAAAGGATTACAAACACCAAGAAATTTAGCAAAACCTCAAACCTATCTACCCTTATCATCTCTGATTACTCGCTCACACCCAGCATCATTATCCTCTTTACTTGCTCCGTCTACATTTAATTTTACCCAATCGCTCTTAGGAGGTAACCAAGCAATCAACTTAACTTTTTATCTCTCTCATGAACAAATATATCCATGCTCGTGACTTCTCCATAATCCTTAGCCTTTTGGAGAACATAAGCTCCCAGATCAAATAGTCTATGAAAAATCATCATCATGCTCCTCTTTATTCCTTCAAGTCCACAAGAAATAACACTCATGGCCCAAATGTTCTTCCAACCATAGTTGGCACTAGCCTTCAAATTTATGTTTAGAGAAAACCAACCTGCAAGATCCACTTGGAAAAAAGAGTTCTTTAATTCTCCTAGTACAATTTTAGTCCATAACTACATGACATTCATACAATTGTGGACCGTATGCAACGTGGATTCATCCACATGCCCACATAATTTACCTGTTGTTTTTATTTTCATGTCCAAACTAAAACTAATTATAAAGGATAAATCATGCCCTTTATCGTCATTTCAAATTTATAATCTCTTTCCACATTTAATGATGTTTGCGTAATTATTGCATCTTTTAATCATGTCATCTTTTACATTCAATGATAAATAATATATTTATACCAATGCAACTCACTTAACATATTGTTCTTATCCGAAGAATGTAATTCATTGGTCCATTCAACTTCTGCATCTGCATCCACTATTACTTCCAAAACCCAATGCCCCTCTCTCTCTCTCTCTCTCTCTCTCTCTCTCTCTCTCTCTCTCTCTCTCACTTTGCCTCTCTGAAGATCTGATGTTACTCTCTCACATCCCCTCTCTGAAATTAGAGATGTGAAGAAGATTTCGGGTTTAATTTTCATCATCACCGAGTTCAGATCAAATTAGGTTTTATGCTTTTCGTTATCACATACATAGATTAGTTATTGTGAATAAGATCTGATCAGGATAATGTCGTTCCCAAATGTTTTTACATCTCGACTTTAATTTTCATCACCATCGACTTCAAATCAAATCAAGTTTTATGTTTTCCGTTATCACATACTTAGTTTAGTTGTATGGAATGATTGTTGTTTTCTTAATTTTTGAGGTTACTATTTGCATTTGGCATGAGTTTAACTTTTACGATTTATTTGTTCCACTGATTTATGGCCTATGAGTGTCCCCTTGATGTGAGAAGCTTGATTTATGAGTATGATACTTTTACTCATTGATTATTATATACTTATAATTAATTTTTCATTTATCGTGTCTATTAATAATGCACTTGACTAACTAATATTACCAATTTGTAACAATGGATGCTACAGCAAAAAAAATTTATGCATTATGTGAGTAGAAACCTTGTTTGATGACTTTTAACAACTCTTTTAGTTTTGTACATGTATTCCTTGGTATCCATGGCAATTGTCAAGAAATTCAAGGTAACAATCCTTTTTATTTTATTAACTTAATAAGATTTATTAAATTTTATATTTTGTGCTTAATCGTAACTTTGAAACTGATTCAAGATAACAACGTTGAATATGTTAATTGTGAGAACGTTAAGAGCTACATAATTCTACATGTTTGCTTTTTTATAATGGATGCACATTCTGGTTTGGATGTGTTACAATAATCAAAGGATGATTTCTTCAGGTATGGCATACATTTATCTGTGTTTTGTTCTTACACATATCCCTGTTAAAATTATTGAGTAATGTTTTAGAGTTTTGCTTATGTACTCTAAATCAACAGTTTTGAGTGTAGGCTCTTTGAATGATTTTTATATTTACATTGATTAGAAGTTGATGATTTGACTTGTTATTTAACTTGTGATTTTATCTTGCAGTCCAAGGCAATGTCTGATCCATAAATACATAATATTCTTTGTGACACTGTTATGCTACAGGCTTACTTATTTATCTTGGAAGCGCATAATGGTTATTATGTCTTATAATTTCAATTGATAATTATCTATCCTTTCATGTGTGTCAATGTGGTTCCTAATAAGTTGAATTCTCCATTTATTTTAGTCATATAGTAAGAGGAAAATGTTTTACACCAAACTGTGGGCAATGCCTGCAAGTTTAAAGGATCCAAAGACGTTCATTGTACTTGATCCAACCTTCAACAAAGGTTATATGTCGAAAGGTGCAGTTCATTTTTCATGAAAGAATATGAAAAATATTTGGAAACATTTAAGTAGGGGTGAATCATGATGCAGAGAAGTGCATTACACTTGATCAAACCTTTAACAAGGGTTATACGTTGAAAGGTGCAATTCATTTTTCATGAAAGAATATGAAAATTTCTATAGCGAATAAAATTTCTGCATGATGTGAGTAGAAACCTTGATTTGGTGACTTTTAACAACTATTTTAGTGTTATACATGTATGCGCTAGTATTTTGGTTATGATGATAGTATGGTAATTGGTAGTTTGTTTGATTAAGTTTGTTTATAGTTGTTAAAGACTATTTTAAACATTTTAATCCTAACTTTGGAAATGATTCAAGGTAACAACGGTGAAGATGTTGATTGTGAGAATGTTGGAGCTACCCAATTCTCTACATGTTTGCTTTTTTATCTTGGATGCGAAAAATTGTTACAATAATCAATGGCTGATTTTTCTGGTATGACATACTTTTCTTTTTGATTACATATTATAGATCTATTATATTTTAAATAAAACTTATTTTACAATGTTTGCAATTGTTAGATATTTGTGTTTTGTTCTTACACATATGTTTGTTAAAATTCTTGAGTCATATTTCAGAGTTTTGCTTATGTACTCTGATTCAACAATTTTAGTGTATGCTCTTTGAAATTTTTGTATATTTATATTGATTAGAAGTTGATGATTTGATATGTGATTTAATTTGTGATTTTACTTGCAGTCTAAGGCAATGTCGGATCCATAGATACATAATATTCTTCATGAGACTTTTATGCTTCAAGTTTGCTTATTTATCTTGGACACACATATTAAAATATAGTTCCTTTTTTGTATGTTTCCTTTATTATTTTTTTCCTTTTCTTTAGCTTTTGATTGTTATAGTCGTTACCTATTTTATAGCATGGCTAAGTATTTTTCCTTTTTGCTGGTTGGCTACATATAGATTGTCACCTATATATTGTAATGGTGCAATTTATAAATGATGCAATAATATATTCAATGGTTTTAATGAATTTTCGCCAGAAAGTTAATATGGTATCAGGAATTTAATGTTCTGATATCCTTTCTTTTGCTCTTTTACGTGTTTTTTTATTCAGTATTTTCTCTTCTGCTCCTTATCTATGTTTTTTTCCGTGTCTTCTCCTTATTGGATCTTCCCAGTTTCTTTTTTTTACCTTATCCCTCTTCTGAGTTTCTTTTGTCTTCTTTCTCATTGCTCCATCCTCGTTCCTTTGTTTCTTCATCTTTCTTCTTCTTCCATCATTCACCAAAATCCTGTCAAATCTTTGATTCCTTCTTTTTTGTTTCCATGGCGCAAGAAATTTTGGATGAATTGAACTTTTCTACCCCAAAGGAATCACCAGCAAAAACCCTTTCCATCAATGACTCCAACAATAATTCCACCAATAGTTCCTACCAAACTGATATGGTGGATCTTTCTACATGCACCCAAGCGATAATCCAGGTATCGCCATCGTTTCTCCATTTCTGAACAACAAAAATTTTCACTCATGGTCAATATCTGTTAAGGTTGTGATTATATCTAAGAACAAACTAGAGTTTCTCGATGGAACCCTAATTCGTCCACCCTTTACTGACCGCA